TTTTTTAATTAAATTAAAAATCTTTTAATATTCTATATTTTAAAAAAATCGAAATTCATGTAAATTAAAAAAAAAATTCATACGATTTTTTCTAATTATTAGAAGATATATCTTTATTTTTCATACTAATTTCTTAATAATGTTACTCTAGTACTTTATATCTTTTTTATACATATCGAGTGTTATTTGAAATCACCGATAGAAATGATATACACTTTAACAGACGTGTTTTTAAATATTGCATCTGTCTAATTATTTCCAAATATTATTTCAAACTAATAAATATAAGCCCGTGTGCGCCTCGAATATTTCATACTTCGTTCACAATCGTTTTACCCCTAGCTCTAAAAAACAACGTAAACGCTTTTGAATAGAAGCATCGTCGGGGTTTAAGAAACAAACGTAATCTTTCGGAACCTCACTCGGCCCTCCTTCTCTCTTTCATGCGGTTTAGAACATTGTTGCCTTAGGCACTTCAATTGCTTGCCTTCCGGTGCACAGGCGCATTTTCTCGAGCGCTCTTATATCTCGCCGTCACCATTGTCGCGCAGACGTTACATAGTCAGCGTTGTTAAGAACGGCGACAGAAAAGGGGGAGCGTTCACCCGCATACAAATTGATCCTTTTTGCGCGGCACCTACGGCCCAGGATCTCCCTCGCGACTGCCGAAAAACCGGCCCGGACGGCCTACAAGGGGGTTGTCGCGTTTTGTGGAAACAATCAGCAGGTTGTCGCGAAACAAGGATATGAATGCATAAGCAGCGCAGTTAACACGGTTGCACGCCGTGTTCGTCGGCACTCTTTTTGTTTCGGACCCTCCCTCAAAGGACGCCGCTTTTGTGCCCGGGTCCGACCATGTGCGAAGTATGGGGAGTCACGGGGGGAGAGAGAGCCGGAAAGACGAAGGACGTGGGTCCTCGCGAGACGATATATACGATCGATGTCGTCGCATGGCAAAGTCTCTTATTCTTATTGTCTCTCCGAGTCCTTGCCATTTGTTGCTCCTCGAAGGATTCTCTCTCTCTCTATCTCTCTTTCGGTCTGCGAGAAGACATTCCGGATTTCTTGTTGACCAATAGACTTCCTTCCTCCGTCGTGAATTTTCTTCAACAGTACTTCCTTGCCTTTGCCTGTTGACAGCGTCGCGTTATTGCGTTTTTTACGCGTGTTCTATAGATTTAAAATCCTAGTATAAAATTGTTACAAAATAATAAATATCGTATCGGAGCAATATTATTTATTTACGAATCGAAATTTCTTATGATTTTTAAGGATGATCAAAGTTTCCCTCGTTCATTCATATTCGCATAAATCTAAATCTTTTGACGAAAATTAAGACTAATGAAATAATATCTTCTAATTTTCTAAAAATATTTAATTAAATAAATAAACATTAAACTATTTTTGCATAATTAATAAGACGCCAAACTTTTTGAATCAATTTCGTCAATAGCAAATTAAAAATCTGTTTAAATTTTATGGATTCCCGGGAAGGACACTATACTATCTTCTGATGAAACCATAAAAAAGCGTTTTGTTTAGTGATGATTAAGAAGTAATTTTTTATTTAATTTTATTTAATTAAATAAAAGTTACTTCAAAAATATTTCTTGTATATAAAATTGTTATAATAATATTTCTTTTATCATATTTATATACAAATATAAATAATAATAATAAAAAATTAATAATTAATAATGATAATTAATAAAATAAAATAAAATAGCTATAATGCACATAAAATGCAAAATTTTGTTTTGCAATCTGTATATCTCAATCGGAAATAAAATAGTTGTCATAATTAGAAATAGAACAGGACTTTGACCGGAGTCTGACAGAGATAATGCGTAGAATTGCGCGATGAGAATCGCATGGAAATATTATTTATAACGTTATAACGTTACAACTGCGAATGGTCGCCTGTAACTGGAGCTGATGCCGCTTTGTTCCTTATCGCGAATGTAAATTATTAGATTTCGCGACTTCCTTAATCACGGTGAAATTTCAGTACCTAAGCGTCGCGAGTCAAGATGTGTGTCGCGAGTTAAGCAAGAAATATTTCTTTTTCCCTGCAATCAGAAAATATTAGTCGATTTTATTACGCAATCTATATGGAGTTTATTAACATTTTTTGTGAGATTTTATCCGGAAAATATCCGCGTTTATCGTTATTATTCTCCTTCTCGCCAATTCTCTGAAACTCTCTTTCTGTTATATAATAAGTAGGTAAATAATTTATCGCCTTTGCGATGCCATATATTGAGCAATCTCTCGTTATTTCGATAGCAGACACTAGAATGCACCTTCCGATAGACTTATCGCGCTAAATTTTGATTTTAAGGATGTCAAGTGCGCGTATTAAATTGACGCTTACATGCTTTTTCGCACTTTGTACAGACTCTATAAAAGCGCGGGACGAACAACGAGATAATTTAAGACGTATTTCATGCCACGACGTTTTTTTACATGACAACGATTAGAGACAGCTATAAAGAGAGGATTAAAGCCCCGTGGACGAACGATAAAAATTTGCACAAGTCCCGTCCGTGCAATTAAGCGAAGTGTCGACGGCGCCCCAGTCTTTTGAGAGTTCGGGTTAATTCCGCCATTCGAACGGTATGCCTGGAACCGGTTCGCAGGCTCGTAATTCGTGTCGTGTCTTCGCGTTTCTGACCAAGTCGCCAGCGCTATGCAAACACTTCTCGTTGATTTGCACAGATGTAATATGCCAGAAATATGTTCATCATTCTGCGTAAAGTGAGGAAATATTTCGAGGCTGTTGGATCCATTAACTGTACAAGTTAACTGGATATCAAACTTGTGTGTTACTGGACAATTTGCAAAAGTATCATGGAATTTTTAACACGTTGATTTTCCATTATAATGCAAATTAAATTCGATCTCCGCCACTTTCCTGCCATTGATTTGCGGAAATGTGCGAGCTTGCGCGCGCAACGCGTTATGCGATCGCTGTTACTCGAGCTGCACCCCGAGGTCTCCCCCTCGGAACGTCTCCCACGTCTTTCTTGTCGGCAGACAGCGTGGTACCGCGACGACCGAGGAGAATCGCGCCGGGAAGGGCGAGGTGAGGCAAGTGAACGTAGGACAATCACGATCGGGTGCCTCGTCGTCAATGGCTCGTTGTTGAGTATCGATCGTAATTAATAGGGGCGATCTGAAAAAAGCGACCTTAACGAGACAGCCGTAATTAGAATGCCGCCGATTCGGCCGACGTCATTTGCTTAAGTTGATCCTCGCATGTCGCGTCCGAATAAGGCAACTCGCGTTCGCCACTTCGCAGGGAGTGCGAAAGAACAAAGAGGAAACCGAGAGAGAGTGCTGGGATGGTTCCCGCCCTGGATGAGATCGCGACTTGGGAGAATGGAAGAGAAGGAGTGAACGAGACACCTGCTTTTTAGCTGTATTGTCTTCCTCTCTTTTTCGATTTTCGTCCTTTCCTCCATCCTCTCGTTTTTTCTTATTCCTCCTTAATATTTTTTTAGCAATCCACGGAGGCTCGTTGAAAGGAGTCCTTAAACGAGGCGATGACACAACTGCCTGTCAAAAAACACACAAGTGAAGTTTTTTAATTATACGCTTTTTTGGGCAGAAATCAATATAAAATCCTTTTGTCGATTTATATTGATTTTATTCGGTGTGAATAATAGATTGAATAGATGAGAATTGAATCAGGTGATAGAAACATGAAATTAAATGCTTAATTATTAAAATGTATTGTGTTTCAATTCTTTACTTGTTTTTTTAAGAAAATTATTATATATATAAATTTAATGTTCTTTTATAGAAGAAAATAATTTTATCGAAAATAATATTTAAATCTTTATAAACATTAATAGATTTATTTTCTCAAAATAAGTTTAAATAGTTTAATATATTAATTTAATTATTAAATTAATTATTTAATTATTAAATAATTAAATATATTAAATATATTAGTTAAATATTAATTAAATATATTAATTATAATTATTAAAGTTTAATATATGAATTAAAAATTATTCGAATCATATTTAAAGCAAAAACACACTTAAATTTAGTTTGTTTTAAGATGCGAAAATTCATTGCAGCATAACGCATAATGCCATATGATACAATCGAGGATGCATGCATAGTATAATTCAGGCACGCATAATGAATATCGTTGTCGTGATAATTTAGAAACACGTGTTGGAAACAAGCCAATCGGCGTAATTCATCCTAGTGGCTGATGGTTATTGATTTACACACGTAACTCTTTCGTGAAACACAATTCCTAAGAGTTCTAATGAAAATAACAGGGATTTCAACGCAAGATGATTTATGCTGATTGTCTTCCGCATCTCTCATCTCTCGTCGTTTAAAGTTCGCATACGAAAACATAATCGTATTTTCATCGCGAGGATTTCATTCCAAATGCGACTATCCAAATCTTTGTTATTCCAGACTCTCTAAGCTGTGTTCCTTCAGTCTAAAATATACAATTTATATCTTATCTCTACAAAACTCAAGGACGCAACCAAGATATAGAGAAAAATAAACAAAGCGCACAGATTATGTAATTTTCCGTCCTCGTATGTATAAAGAGAAACTAAAAGCGAAAGATATGATATAGAAGATTAATAGACGGTCGCTTTTATCACTAAATGCACTAAATCATTGCGATGCTTTTTTAACTAGGATTGCGCAAAATTCAAGACAATAAATTTATTTTTATTTAAATAAATTTATTTTTATTTAAATAAATTTATTTTTATTTAAATAAATTTATTTTTATTAAATTAAATAAAATTATTTTAATATAATGTGATTTTTCTCACTTAATTTACAATATTTAGCTTTCTTTAAAAACCAATATAATTTTGACAATTTTAATCTTGATATTGTCTTGATAATTAATTAAAAATTATGTCTTAAAATTCAAAACAAAACAAGACAATATCAAGAGTAATCTTGGTATGTCGTGTCTATTTTTTTACTGATTGCCACTTTTTTCGTTTCAGACAATCATGACGACTTTAATGCCGGACATGTGACATGTACGGTAAAGAAGGGAGAGCGATGGCGGAAACATTTCCTCGAAATTCCTCCGGTCTTCTTCTCGTTCGTGATAATCGACGGGCCTGCGAAGCAAAAGAGAAAATCCTCATTCAGATTACCTTGGCAAGACCTACGGGTTCGTAAAGGGCATGAAAGCTCATCATGTTCAACCACCGACACGGGCCACGAGCGCTGTCGACCTGCTGCAACCTTCTCGGCGTAACATTCCTCTTATTGATCGCCGGTAGCTACGTGTCATCGGATCTCAATTCCGAGTTCGTCAAAGGGAAAAGTGAGTTTTACTGCGAAAATTTGGAATTTAGATACTTCTAATATTCAATAAAGACATTTTTATTTTCGTTGTTTTTCGTTTTCACGCAAAATTATTTGTCATATATATAATATATAATATATAGCGTATGAATATTATGTTATTAATAAGGTAAAAATATAATTTAAAAAAATAACATATATATTATTACACATGTTTACTAAAATTATATTTTACTTTATTAATAACGCAAATGTTCGGAGACGAAGTTTCGTCGAAATGTGAAGATGTCAACAATCAAAAAGTAGAAAAAGACCTTGCGAATATCGGTGAATATAGATTGTTGGAGGAATAACGCAATTTATCGGCGCATGTGAGCACATATCGCGTTGCTACGAGTTGGCTTTTCAACTGTCGTGAGCGTAAAGTTCTTCTCTTGGCAGAGAACTCTCGATCGTAGATCATCGAGATCGTCTGAAAAAGTAGAAAGCGAAGCGGTGCGCTGGCACAGCGTGGGCGTCGCTTAGTCGAAGAGTCCCTTTTACTCGAAGTACCTTTGGAAAGTACCGTTCATCTCCTATCTAGAAGAGAAGATAGAGAGGGGAGAAAGAGCGCACGCCGTTTAAAATCTCAACTCTTACCTTTCGTCTCTGGTCGAGATGCGATCTAGCATCGCATCTTGTAAGTGCACTTTATCCTGTGGGCACTTCTATAATTGAAAATGTGGCTAAGAGTACGCTGTGGCACGTGGTCCACAAGAGCTTGACTCATATATAAAATGTTTATATCGGTCTTGATGATGGGAGACAATTGTTGTGACTATTATCGCGCTCAACCGCCGTGACATTGCGGTTCGAATAAACCACACGCTTTTGCAGAAGCTACAAATTCCGTCAATAATCTTCTCGATAAGCTTACAGATCAAAAAGATAATTAATATATAAATTAATATAATAATTAATATAATTATTATATTATTATATTAATTTATATTAATTATTTTTAATCTGTAAGCTTATCGAGAAGATTATTGACGAATTTGTAGCTTCTGCAAAAGCTACTTCTCAATTCCAATTGAGAATATTACAAAATTAATTATATAATAATATAATAATTAATATAATTATATTATTAATATAATTAATTTTGAAAATAATTCTCAATTGGAATTGAAATAAGATAATTTAAACAATATTATAAGATAATTTTAATTGATATTATTTTATATATTTTATTTTTTATTTTTTTCTCTTAGTCATAACAAGTTTTTTCTGCATATTAATTTTTTCAATTTTTTCTTATCAATATTAAAAGCTTTTAATGTCTTATAATATGTAAAAAAAATTGCAAAACAATCAAGTTAATATCAAGATATACCTTTCACAGAATATCTTTCAAATCTTTTAAATAAACTTTTTACAAAAATCTTAAAATAAATATATCTTTCTAATTAAAAATAATTAAATTTCTAATTAAATAAACGTACCTTTCTAATTAAAATTTATATAAATTATAATCTATTATAAACAATATAATTTAAAATTATTACATAATTTTTTCATAATTTTCTTCTATATTCCAACTCGATTTATGATTGCAGTAAATGGTGTGTTAATCACAAACATAGGCAGGTGCTTATTCCAGACACAGGATTTCCTTTGTCGACCAAAATGGCGGGCTAAAGAGCAAAATAATACGGGTTCATTTTTTTTATTTATTATATATATATATTTTATAAAAATGCAGGTGTCCAATATCCGGGATCATCGTCCGTCTCGATGAGGGTTTTAAAACTAATACAGGTCCTCTGAAAAATTTATTATTAATTTTATTAGAGAGTATCTAGCTTTTGGTTTCAAATATATGCATATACTTTATCTCTCAGCGCAGACTCATCCAAACCCAACACTTTAGCTAAACATTATTAACAATTTTTATTTAAATATTTATATTAAATTACATTTATATTAAATTACATTTATATTAAATTACATTTCATATTAAATAATTTTATATTAAATATTTATATAAATTGTAAAAATAAAAATTGAAAAGGATTCGTCAAAAATTACACGATTGAATGGCTTTTAGGAGCCCATACGATCATAACGTCTTGAAATGATGTTGATCAGAATAAGATATTGCCAGAATGTCTTTCTGTCAATACAATAACCGGAGCTGCATATTATGCAGTTGAAATGTGCAGCTTATTCCGCATGCGAACAGCCACCCAGAACTGACGCGAAAAGATATCGCCTAAAGTGGTCTCCGTAAAAGTTTCCATTAAAATGATAAGCCCTGAGTCGATCTCTTTCTATCCATTAGCCAGAAGTAACCTCCATCATGTCGTGCTTTACAGTTTCTATTTTGTCGTTCTCAGAAAAAAAATAGAAAAAGAGGAGAAATGAACGACAATTCAGGAGAGAAAGGGAGAGAGAAAGACGGGAAGATTTACCTTGAAAGGATTATGGAGCCACAGTAAATTAATCGGTCGTCTTTATCGTTCTCGGTTTTTAAGATGTATCGCGTTTCGAAATAAAGCATCTATTAAGAGGCGAGTGCAGCTCTGATAATCCTTCCACGTAAAAACACAAGGATATTATTTAGGCAAGAGAATAAACGATAAAAATCGGACGCCTATTAAAAATTGAATTTTTTTTAAAAATTGTCTTCTTACAGCAATTTTCAAATTTATCTCTCGACGCACCTCTCGCTTTGATCATGTACCGACTTTCACACAAAATAGATTCTTTTCTCCTGAAACATTCATTATACAACTTGTCGATTTTTGCTCGATCTCGATAATTATTCAGTGTGACTTGTATCATCTGAAATTTTACATGTTTACTACCGTTAACGTTTTGTTTGATTTATGCCAGAAGAATAAATTAACGAGTAATTTCACAAGTCTGCCCATGCTTTTAATTTTAATATAACTATAATGATAAAATAAATAAAATTAAAATAATTATTTATTTATAAATGTTTTTTTAATTTTCAAAAACTCTTACTTATCGTATTTTATTGTAAACAAGGTCGATAAGTAACAAAAGCGACGATTATTGATGAGATTTAATATTTTTTGCAGCTCTTGAAACCGTCGCTTAATACATTATTTCTAAGGAGAACGAAAGAATTTTTGATTGGCATCGTAATCGAATCTGTAAACGAACATATGCCAAGAGAGTGACAAGACTCTCGCTCATGTGGCTTAGCCTGTTATCGCCCCGAGCTCTTTATTTATATCCCCGGCATCGAGAATAATCGACGAGCGGCAAGAAATTTTATTCATTATGTCCTCTGGCGATGAAGCTGCTGCCCTGGCAGCGTTCTACTTCGCTCTTGCGTGCCAACCTAATCTTCGAATCTCGAAGAATTCTCGGGCCCTTCGATGCCGTATTCCGGCATCGATATTCATTTCCTCGGCTAACGATATTAATTATTGCGACATTTCTCCTTGGGTGGTTGTAAAGAATCTCGCTTTCTCTACCATCGCTTCTGCCAGGTTTCTCCACCTTCGCCGGGTCTTCCTCTGGCAGATTGCATCTTCAAGCGTGTCCGGGTAAAGAGTAAGTAAAGAGTAAGTAACGAGACGTGGGGCAGAAACGGAGATTATCTGGGCATGAGAGAGCGTCGTCCATCAAGGCGAAAGCGAGATATAGCGCGAACGTAATACCGTTTTCCCGTACGAGTTATCATCGTCGACGACGTATCTGTAAGGACCAGACGGGGACATCTGGGAGGCATGCCTTAATTGACCGTTCGGAATATCGACGAGATCCCAGAGACGGATTGAGACGTCAGATTTCCGAGGGACACTCGCATTTTTTGCCCGCCATGAAATATGACCGCTCAATATGCTCGATAGGATTTATTTATGTATGTACGACGAGGATTGCGTCGCTGGATCCACGCGTGTCTTTCCTACTAAAATTCCTTCCGACATTTTTTGGAAGCGTCTCGAATATTTCCAGTCATCTATTCGTCTTATTATTTTTGTTTGCGCTTGTTTAAGATTCTTTTTCAGCTCGGAGCTCATTTAAAATCTGACCGAAAACTTAGCAATTTATATTATTATTGTAAGAAGGACAGAGATAACTTTTCTGCGTGTCTCCTCCGAAATGCCCCGTCCATCTTTTATACTACATGTTTTCATTTTAAATATTTATCTTGCGTACTAACAAAAAAAAAATGACAAATTTTTATCTTACTCAAGAGTTTGTTACCACTAGTCTTACTGGCAAAAACCGCGGTGTTAAATCTATGATTGATTCATTCGGAATAATTGGTGAACACGTGGCGGTTGCGCAAGCACGCGGCTTTACGGCCGCGATTCAATTGAGGCAACATTCCAAGGAGAGATTGCACACGCGGTATAACGGATGAACCGATTTCTATTAATCATTTCCATCTGACGTCTCTCGCAATCTGCCTGGCGGCCACTTTGGAGCTCGTGCGACAAGCCCGAGGTGAGATCGGCCGGGTAACAGGTGGCCTCGCATTCGTTTCTCAACCAAAGTGAACACGTATCGTATCGTGATATAAATGCACCCTGTCGAAGGTCAATCAAGGGTTTTCGATGGGATGCGCGATGACGAGCGCGATGAAAATGGGCGTCCGAGGGGACTTGAATGCCGCACAAATGGAGCTGTCAATGTTTCTTCGTGAGCTGCGCATTGTATATCTGAATCAGAAAGGGGCTCGTGATGGCAATCTCCATCGATTGATGCGATGATGCGCGAAAACGCGTCGACGAGCAGCATTGTCTAGAATCTCATGTATAACGTAGTAGCGTCATTACCCAGAATGAGAATGGAATATCGGCGAGTCGCTCGATAACGAAGTATATATCTAATTTGTCCGGGATATTTCTGAAATAAAATGTATACGACGCACGTGATATGCATATTCTTGCGTGAATGATTACGTTGAATATATATTATAATTTTGAATATTTGTCAAATCATCGCAACGTATCAATCTATTTAGCATCCTACATAATTATGCAATTATAGTGCAAT